CAAATTATACCTCAGTAAACCTACCTTTACAAAGTCATTAGAACTGGGTTTTACCGTGTGCAAATTATACCTCAGTAAACCTACCTTTACAAAGTTATTAGAAAGAACCAGGCAAGAAAGGCTGGCTAAGACCTGTGACTGGCTGGCTGCCTCCTCCAGGAAGTCTGCCCTGACTGCCTGAGGCCCGCAGAGCCTTGTGCTGTGTTCCCTCCTTCATGGCACCCGCCAGCCTATCGGCTCAACTCCCACCGACCTGGGAGCTGCCTGAGGGTGGGGGTCGGGTTTGATCAGGGCTGGGTCCCCAGCACCGTCCAGCAAGAGGCTGCCCACAGGTAACCAACCTCAGGACAAAAGTGTGGCATGAACAAAAACAATCAAGTTGCTTCCCCATGGAGGCTCTCCCACCTCCTGTAGGAAGCACCCCAAGCCCCGGCCTGGCACTGAAGGCCACATCCCTCTCCTGCCCTGCCCTGCCGTCCACCCCGGCCACCAGCACTGCATGCTCCCTAGCAGACTCTCAGGCCTTGGCACCTGCCAACCCTGCCCACAGGCCACTCTGTCTCTGCCCCCAGCAGCATCACTCTGGCCACTAGCCAGGAAGGATCCGCGTCTAGGGCCCCTCTGGATTCATCACCTCTGCACACCCACCCCTCCAGCCCCACCTGCCCCTCTAGCCCCGCCCCTCCTCCTTGCCTCCACAGAGGCTCCCCTGCACCCCCAGGCTTTTCCAAGATCCTCAACTAAACAAACGCCACCCAGCCCTTCACAATAAATGACCAATAACTGATTCAACCTATGACTCAACCCAATCTTGGTGTGTCGGGCTGGGCATGAAAACCAGTCACAGGAAACAGGCCTCAGCCCCTGCTCCCACGTGGAAGTGGTGCAGCGCTCCCAGCCTCAGCCTCATCTGTGAGTGGAGGGAACTGCCCTCACCTGGGCAGAAGTCTCCAAAATCAGCAAGGACGGGGATCTCGCCCAGAAAAGGCCCAGGTCTAAGTGCACGAGGGTGGAGCCTTGCAGGTCTGGTGCACCAAGACACCCAGAGCGGGCCCTCTGCAGATGCTTGCCAATGGACCGCAACAGCAGCTGTCTAACACTCACCAGCCCCTAACCCGAGTCAGACGTGAATCAACTCCACGGGCCCTCACAGAGGGAGATTCAGGGATGAGCCCGAGATCCCACCACCGGCAGAGTAACCCGGCCCAGCCCACGTCCTTGGCCACTTTGCCGTAACACAAGGAACACAGTAACCAAAGACCAAAGGTGGGGATGCTAAGGCCCCTGGACCCCACGAGCAGCAAACTGAAAACCCACTCGCTGAGTCCTGCTCCCAGCTGCAAGCCCTTTGACCCAAAACCTGCGATCTGCGTGTGTGGTCAGTGGATCAGGGCCAGCAACTAGGCCACATCCATGGAGGGCACTTTGGCCACATTTGCCAAAATTACACATGCACGAGCCTCTTGACTTGGCAACTCCAGTTCTAGAAAACAGCAAAGGTACAAGGATATTCACGGCAATCTCATTCTTAAAACACTGCAAAACCCTTTTCAAAAAAATCCATCAACAAGTCACTAGTGAAATAAATTATGACCAATCCATAGAGTTGAAAGTTCTGCAGTTGTAAAAGAAAAAAAAAAGCAGCAAATCTTTTACATCCTGATAGGCAATGTTTAAGATAAAATCTCCTTTTCCTTTTTTAAATTGGGGTCTAATTTACATATGGTAAGACTCGCTCATTTTAACATCAGTCTGAGTTCTGACAAATGCACAGGACATGAAGCCACCACGGCACTCAAGGCACAGAACAGTCCCGCTGCCCCCAAAATGTCCTTGTGCTGCCCTTTGTAGGTGACCCCTCCCGTCCAACTCCCGGTGAGCACCAACCTGCTCTCTGCATTCCATCCCTATGGTCCTGTCTCTCCCACTGTCAGATTGATGCCAGCAAACAGTATGCAGGCTTTTGAGTCTGACAAGCAGTGTGAGAACACGACACTGTTCCAGTGTTCATCCCCAGCGTGGCATCGCCTGTGCCATGGGGAGCACACACCTGCCTGAGGGGCATTCACAGACGGGGCCCAGAGCGGAAACTTGGCTGCTGTGAGGAAAGAGATGGGCACTGTGGGCCCTTTCAGGCCTCCTGAGCATATGAATCTTACGAATGCACCACTCACTCAAAAACAGATTTTAACCACAAGGCTCCAAACTTCTTAGCGTTACATTCGTTGCCTTCATTAAACAAAAAGAGAGATTTTACTCTTCTACAGCTCCTCTTGAGAACCGGGATGCCATCCCAGGCAGGGTGCACAACACGGGCTCCTGCCCTCCCGCCTGAGCCCCTGCACCTGCCTGGGGAGGAGAGCGGGACGCTGACCTTGTAGACGTGCCGCCAGTTCTTGCCATGGTCATTGAGCCGCTTCCAGATCATGCTCATGATCTCCGAGAAGGCGACGACGTTGTAGGTGAGGTCAGCAATCTCTGACATGAGGGAGCTGGACGGACCCCAGGGGTCATTGCTCGTGGCCTCTCGAACCTTGATCTCCGCCTCTGAGTAGTTGTGGACAATGTTCTTCATCTGGCGCCTCAAGGACGAGGTCGACATGGTGCCCGGCTGCAGCAGCAAGGGGCACAGGGCCCCTGATGCGTGGAGAGACGGGGTGACTCCTGGACGAAGGCTGCAGCAGGCGCTGGCAGGTCACCGCATCTGAGAAGGGAACAGGACCTCTGGAAACACAAGTGGGACATGGGTTGCCCAGAGCCCTCAGGGTCAAAGATGAGTTCCTAACTGTGGCCCAGAAGGCTCTGTCCCTTGTTAACCTCTAGGTCTCAAAGTAACCCCATCCATGTTTCAGTTCCTCAAACAGGCTGCCTCCTTCCTGCTGGGGCCCCTGCTCAGTGAGGCAGAGTATATGCAGTGGCACATCGCAGCCCCACACCCTGGCTCAGCCAGTTCCTGGCCAGGCCACCCTGGGTGGGCTGCCATCTCCTGCACCTCAGCTTTCTCTTCCATCAAATGGGGCTCCATGCAGTCATCTAGGGAACTGACGCAATGTAAACACTGGTAGCACATCCGCAGGCACTCCATCCTGCCCATGCGCTCTTCCTTCTTCCTCGCCCAGGGATGTCCACTCACCCCAAGTGCTCTGTTTACACTTCCCAGGTCCACACTCAAACATCATGGTCACCTTTCCCTGGAGCCTCCTCAGTAAACCCACCCTCCCTCATGATTTTATATTCTTTTGTCTGATTCTGTAGCTCAGGTCAACCTACAGGCCCCATGGGGGCAGAGAACACGTTTGTCTAGACGTGGCTTTTCCTACCAAAGAAGCTGGCCCAGAAAAACCATTCAGTAAACCATGCAAGGAGGAAGTGGAGAGGGAGGGCAGGACAGACCTCTGGAACAAGGATGGAGCGGGCAGGAATCCACAGCAAAACAAGGACACATGAGAAAGAAGGCTGATGAAGGATGAAGGGATTAAAGACAGGGGCAGGAGCAGGGAGCCAACCCAGGGCGGCAGGAAGAACCAGGGAAGCCAGAAGACCAGACGTCCCAAGGACAGGGGAAGCCCAGGGCTCAGGAGAGATAAGGAACCTAACAGCCCCACTGCCTGGGTCCCAGCTGTGTCCCAGGTGCTCACTCAGCATAAGAGGGACATGACATTTTTCAATACTACATGCAGAGACTGGGCTCCTGGAGGTTAACTAACTCAACCAAGGTCACACACCAGGAATGGCAGGGCAGACTCAAACCAAGGCCCACCTGAACTCCAAAACTCATACTTTTAAATTAACCTCAATTAAACTAACCCATCCCAAGACTGGTGATGAGAAACAGGAGAGTCAAGCAAACGATGATGACACCAGCAGACGCTCGCACTGCTCGTATCCCATGCCAGGCACTGTTTTAAGCATTTTCCATGTATTAACTCAGTTAATCTTGAAACAACCCCATGATTCATAGTCACCTCACAGGGTGGAAACTGAGACACGGAGGTTCAGCCCCGTGCCCAGGGACACACACCTTACCCCTGGAGCAGCCTGGTTCCAGAGCCAGCTCTCATCACCGGTCTATACGGCTCCAATAAGCCACAGAGGGAGATTTTCAAAGCCCCACCATGATGTAAGCCCAGGGGAGACAGGGATGACTGACAGAGGCTGACCTCTGCTTCGAACTCAGACTAGAGAGCCAGGCACCTGAAGACAGATGTAGCTAGTTAAAAAGAAAATCTCCGGAGTCCCAAAGCAGCCCCAGCCTGACACATTAAAAAGATGAGATGATGTAATATGGAGAAGGGGACTGACAAGAAATAGAGACAGACCCGGACAGAGAGAGACACACAGAAACCCAAACCCGGGCAGAAGGAGCTAAGCAGAGACACAATGAGAACGATACAAGCAACAGCAGATACAAGAACATGGGAAGACAGGGAGGCAGGAGGCCAAGGAGGAAAGAGGCCCAGAAACAAAAAGAGACCTGGCGAGAAATAAGACACAAGAAAAATAGAATCTAATGGCAAAGAATATAAAATGTGGGTTCAAATCCTGGCCACATCAGCTACCTGCAGCGCCAACCTCCTTGAGATGCAGTTTGCTCAACTCTGAAATGAAAGAATTCCTACCTGGCAGTCCTGTTGATTAAATAAGATGGGTACATACAGTGCTTGGCTCTGTGCCCTACAGATAGTAGGCGCTCAATAACACTGGCTGCTATTATTATCAGAGAAAAAAACGGAGAACAGTTCCAAAAGGGTGGCGGCAGAAAATGCACTATCTTAATACTGTGTACTTATTTGGCGTGCATTAGAAAAAAAATACCCAACTAGCACATCAAAGCTACCATTTCTCAGATACTGCTTAGAATGAGATCGTATTTCAAATTAAATTGATTCCAAGAGAATTATTAGATTAAAAAGAATACAAAGGATATGACAAAGTTCTCCAAGGAGTACTCCAATAACCGACCGATATCTAACACTTACTGTGTAAAAACCTCTAAGCACTGTAATAACAAAAACCAGCGCTCCCAGTAATTACACACTCGCTATGTGTCAGATACCGTCTGGTACTTTACATGTATCACCTCAACTTACAGGCACAAGGACCCAATGATGTAGAAACTATGAACGCCTACGAACTACGAATTTCCTACGACTAGGAAACTGAGGTTTGGAGATAGAGAATATCACCTGGCAAATACCACACAGCTTAGCAGGCAGCCGGGCCTCTGAATCCAAGGCTGGGGCTCTTCACCACCACACCAGAGACTCAGAAAACAGGGGAAAAGGGGCAGATTCCAGACCAGGGAACAGACTCCTGGAAAGAAACTTCAGGATTGGAGGTGATAGGTATGGGGGCAAAACTCCGACGTTAAGACGGGACGGGGGTAAGATTTGCACTATAGGCAGAAAAGCCCGCAGGGAAGGGCTAGAGACACCTAGGGAAATGAAGACTCGGAAACTCGAAAGACACAAACAAAATCCTGACAGACACAGACTTGACAGGCAGAGGAAAAAAGAGACCCGGGACAGACACACAGACACACTCCTATCTCCAAACCCTTTTCTAAGTCTACTGAAACAGGCACAGGCAGAGCCCCACGGGAAACAGACGCGGCCAGACACAGACACGAGAGAGACAGACAGACA